ATTCCCATACCTATTTGTTTAGTTCTAATGAAAAAAATGTAAGTATATTTTTGGTAATTGTATTCATATACGAAGACCTTCAAACCTGTTTTTCTGTATCATGAATAATTTTATAGGATCTTAAAGTTAACAATTAAAAAGAACCTTGTGCAATTAACGGGGCTTGAACTGGCGACTTCTAAAAGCGAAATTATGATTTTGTGAATTAAACTACCACTTGTTATTGAAATTGTCTTAGTTTATTTGTTTTATTTTCGTCGTTAATTATGTATGCTAAGTGTTATTACATACATATTCTATACTTTTGGATTATTTGCGTGATACGATACTTATATATACTTTTCTCCTTTGTTAATGGAAGGTAATGTTGATATATATTAAACCGATCGATATTAAATTCTAAACCCTAAACCATGAACCCTTAATTTAATTTTAATTTAATATAATTAAAATTAAATTGTCCTAAACCCTAAACCCTTAAATTATTATTATTTTTTATTTCATTATTTTATTATTTATAAATTAAGTAAAAAAGTACGATTTTTTTTAAAAAAAGGGATATTTTTGTCGTCTACAATAATTTAATTACAATTTCAGAATTATATTCCGCGAACCAAACAGATATATTTCAATTTTTATTACATGTCAACCCAATACGTGGTTATACTTGATTCAATTCCTTTCAAATTCCAATTCCTTTGACACATTCTATTTGATCCAAAAACTTGTGCGAATGAACCATCCGAAAAAATTGGGTTGGAGAGGGTTGTGAATTTTCTTCTGATTTCTCTCATGTGTACCGATCATATAGCTCTACAACCATGGATTCTTATCACACAAGTTACATCAAAGATAAACTGATATCAATCAAGTTAGATCCATCGGTATATGACAAAAAAAAATACTACTTTTATACATATTTATATTTCTATGATCATGTACTTTATCTGTATTGGATGTTTTAGCTGTAGTTTGTGTTATGCGTTGTAAGGGTGTTTTCTAACTACTTTTCCCAATTCATTTAAACAAGAAATAAATATACACGAAGGGGCTTTTTAATGTTTAAGATTTCATGTAATGGATCAGCGCTTTTACTGAAATCAGATTAAAGTTGTATTTCTTTTTTCGAGACTAGACCATAGGTACAGGTTATATGTAGACCCATGGTAGATATCTGTGATCAAATCAACGTTATTTACAGAGCCAGTTCTCGTATTTTCAAAACGAAAAAAAAGGGTATGTGGCAAACATATGTGAGTGGTGGGCAGAAATATCTTGTGTTTTTGACTTATGGAAAATGATTAAATAATAATTTGGACTTTTTTCTATACTTGAGAAGTATAAATAAAAATGAATACTCAAACCGTTTAAATACTAATCCTTAGCTTACTATAAAATGCAAAATTAGACCAGGATACAAAGTTCCATACTAGACCATAGGTAAAGATAGTGATGGCCAAATCGGTCCTACCTGGCCCGGGACCGTCAGAAGACTGGGACCGGCAAAGGATCGGTAAGGACGGTTATGGGACTGAAAACCCGGACCAGTTGGGGTTTTTGGCAGTTTCATGGAAACGAGACCGGTTATGAGACCGACTATGGACCAGCCCGAAAATTCAAATAATCTTATAAATAAATGTATTTTCAAATAATTTTATAATGTTTTTTTGTAAGACAATATAATTTTAATTATATAAAAACGTATTTTTAAAGTGTATTTGAATGACCTAATTGCAAATTTTATAATATATAAAAATATATATATTTAAAAAATTAAAAAAATATATTTTTTAATGCCGGGACCGGCAGCCCATAACCGGTTATGAAGAACCTTGACCGGTCTTACCATTTTCGACAGGGACCGAATATAACCGATTATAAAAAAGTTTGGGACCGATTAGGACCGACCCGACCATCACTAGGTACAGGTTCGGGCTTACCCAAATTTGGATCGATTTACAATCGGTAAAAAGGTAAACAGGACCAGAGAACTAAAAGTCAAAATTCGTGCTAGCCACCCTCATGGCAGCCATCCATTGGGCAGCCTTTTCATCTTTTTGTTTCCTTTTGATTTTTTTCTTGCCAAAAAGCAATTAATTTTATTACCAAAATGCCACTACAAACCCAAAAATCATTTGGCATACCATTACCAACTGTAGAAACATGTTTTGACCATATAATTTACAAGCTCCACTACATGGTATTTACTTGCACTACAAAAACCTTTCTCTACCTCTATCCTTAGTATCTACTTCAACAAATGAGTTGTGGGAGGCCTTCATTGCCTTCCAAATGAAATACAACAAATGTCAAATCCTATTTACCTCCATAATAAAACTTACACATGTTATATGCCAAATGGTACATACTGCATCTCACCGCATCTTCGTGCTCCACAGCTGCTTACGGCCGGTTGTAGTGTGAGATAAGACGATCTTTTGATGACCCAGTACCTAGAATACGACAAATATTAGATGTTAAAGAGGGGACACGAGACCATCCTGGAGGAGGTAAATTACTACGAGTCAACAGTAAGTGGTGGTGTCTAGGTTTGAACACATGATCTCCTTTATTATGATGCCCATCACGCGAGGACTCTAAAAGGTGGCATCACTACGATTAAATCGGGTTTATAGAACGTCAAAAATGTCTAAGCATCCTAATAAGCTGTTTTATAGCACCATATAATTGTGTCCATGGTAAAAGTGTTGCAATTAGTTTATAGGGCGCTGTTGGACGACTTAACAAGTTTTTAGGACAACTTTGAAATAGAACACCCTATTAATTTTTTTATATGACATTTGAAAAACATGGGTAGTATAAAAAGATGTGTTCCTATGACACTTCTCAAAAGTGTCCTAAGAAACTAATAGAACATTTTTATTGTAAAAATGTCCTAAAAACATGTTAAAACGTCCAAAAGCGATATCAAAAAAATGTATGCATCAAGACTCACCACAAGTAGTTCTAATTTGCAGCCCAGTATATTAAGCATATCAAACTGCCTGCAAAGAAAATCATGTACAATGGAAACTATATTATAGATGCAGAAGCTGCTATGATCCAAAAACAATAACAAAAAATTTCAAGTCTATTGAAGATACAAAATTTTAGATATGAAAGAGTCCAGAAATTCCAATGGACAATGAACTTGTTTCTATTTTATGATCTTAAGGTTTCATTCAATTTATCTTTGAAGTTTGATCTCAGGGTGAAGGATCGTGTGAGAAGGGAAGTTATGGTGAGAAGCGTCAGAAGAGATCTGAACCCTTGATCACTTTTAATCTCATGTCCACCCATGAATTGCGCGTTAGAAGGGAATTGATCCGGTACATCTCGGTGTACCTTATTAGTGTTGACATTTAAAGATTGATCCAAGGATGGAGATCTCTTCTTATGCTTCTCACCATAACTTCCCTTCTTACTGGAACCCAACCCTTGACCTCAGCCCTCAAGCAAGGTTTATTTAGGAGAATAACCATCTGACATTTGTTTTAGATGCATGACCTTTTCTGATAGATTTTAAGACATTCTTGTGTTAGGAAAAGACATTCTTCTGTTAGGCAAGACTTTCTTAAATTTGTCAGAAGGTTATTTCCTAAATAACCCATTAAGCGGTTAGGACCAGTCCCTAAGAAATCCCGAGACTGGTTAGGATACTTTGTATTTTCTCTCTGCATCCACACACATCCATCGTATCTTATGAAACGAATTTCAGCTCTCTTGAATGATAAGTGGCAAAACAGCACCCTGAGTTCCTAATTTTACGGTTAGCCAGGAGCATTTTGGGTACTAAGCATGTGGAAAAATAGAACTCTTCTGATAGTGGCTGGAGTGTAGAAAAGGAAAAACTACTCAGAAATCAAACTCTTGGGTTTGCTCCCACTGATCACCAGTTCAAGTCCCTTAAGGGCCACTCGAGGATTTCACAGCTGTTAACTTCAGTGCCCCATGGGATTAGTAGAGGTGCACGAAAACTGACCTAGACACCCATGGTAGTAAAAGAAATCTAGGGGACCAAACACATGTCTGGGCGTCTACTGGTAATAGTAGAGGCTTCTCTTTATTTAAGTTTGTCTATTTTTTGTAATACAAATGTATTGTGAATTCAGTCTGACAGCAAGCTCAAAACTCATTTGACAAGACCATGTTGTTTCGATAGTCAAGATACGAAAACTGATACAAGATAGAAACTATGTTTAATTGTGTTTGAAACCTCACTAAAATGAAATAGTGGACACATGCTTTTTGTTAACAAAGTTCAACCATGGAAACATCAAAATCATTTTTGCAATTTATAGCCAACATTTAAAAAGAAAATGTAAATCGGTTTTGGTTCTTCAACAACGCAAGCAGTTGCCAGACACCTTATTTTTGTTTCAGTTTAAAGATTTTAAAGAAGTAAATAGAAAACCAAAAACATAAAGTATTGGCATATGATACATTAGAAACACAGGGTTGAAGTTTGCCACATTCTTACAAGCCTCCTATGCAATGCATTCTATGAGCTACAGACTCGAGAACCAAAAATCTAAAGATATGTGATATAAGCACAAGAAAAGAAATCGAATTTACATGTAGCAACAATAAGTAACAAGTGTCTTTTGCATTACCATACATTTTGCGTGTTTTTGATGTACCTACTCATACTTTTTCTTATTTTTCTCTTTCTATGATTACTATCTGCCAGTCATTGTTCCTTCTACCTGTTTGCGAATGCTCACACTCTCGCAAGAACCAGGGGTCTTCAAGAAAACAGCCACCTTACTTTTGGGACAAGGAAAGGTCTACATACAGCTCAGACCCCCCCCCCTTCTTCCCAAAAGGAGGCGGCACACACCCTACTTAGTCAGTTTCGTTTGGTTTACATAACCATAATATTCTTCTTTGTTTTCTTCTGCTGACCCAACCACATGAGATGTGTTCATCAGTGTTCTAAAATCCCCACTTAGGGCTGCTAAAGTGACCACCTAGCATCCAATGTCTCACTTCCCCATCCCTCGGTTAAGGCCGCTATCTCCTGCTTTATTAGCAACTAATCACTGATTTTAGTGTTTCAAATAATTAAAAAGGAAATATCCGGGCTAAGCGGGTATTAATTAGGTACCCATTAACCAGAAAAACAATTGAGTGGTAATGGTCAGCTCAGTTAAAAGAATTTGAGATAGATTTGTGACTTCTCTGACACAGAGGTAAAATCTGTAGCAAAAATAGTTGGGAATAATTCTCTCTATCTTGATATGAAGAGAATGATACACCAATGTATATACACAAGAAAAAGATCCTACCAAATAAATTACCAAAGAGGAAAAAGGAAAACATACAACAAATCACTCTATCTATAGAGGGAATATACAACAAAATCACTGATTATAGGAGATTGATTCCTAATAATCAGCACATAATATTTCCACCGGTTTGTTTTCCTACACTCCCCCTCAAACTGGTTGGAATATGTCTGTTAGACCAAGCATAGAGCTTAGTTCAATGAGGTGAGGTCTAAACAGGGCCTTGGTTAAAATGTCTGCTGCTTGCTGCCTAGAGGGAACATGGTTGAGAGAAATAATGTTTCCTTCTATTTTCTCACATATGAAGTGCGTGTCAATTTCCACATGTTTCGTTCTGTCATGATGGATTGGAATTTTAGCCATAGCTATCACTGACTGGTTGTCACACATCATCTTGATAGGGCCAGAAATTCCACACTTAAGTTCCAGTATCAGTCGATTTAGCCAAATTCCTTCGCATACCGTGAGCTAAAGCTCGAAACTCGGATTCGGCACTGCTTCGAGATACAACATGTTGCTTTTTACTTTTCCATGTCACCAAGTTTCCCCAACCAAATGAACAATAACCGGATGTAGATCTCCCGTTGATAGGGGATCTGCCCCAGTCTGCATCTGTTTAAACTTTGAGAGACCGATTGAGTGTTTTCTTGAACATTAATCCCTTTCCAAGATCCTTTTTCAGGTACCTAGAATTCGAATCACATCCTTCATATGGTCCATTGAGGGATTGCTTAAAAACTACAATTCCGACGGAAAAACTTATATCAGGACGAGTGTGTGTCAAATATATTAACTTTCCCACCAAGTGTTAGTATCGCCCCTTATTAGCTGCTTCGTCTTCACTCCGAGATATCGGTTTCGTATTAGGATCCATAGGAGTTTCAACCGGCTTGCAACCACTCATGCCAGTTTCATGTAGGAGATCCAGGACATACTTGCGTTGAGAGACAGAGATCCCCTCTTTCGACCTGGCTACTTCCATTCCCAGAAAGTACGATGCCCAAGGTCTTTGATTTCAAATTCTTTGGATAAAACAATCTTCAGTCTTCTCATTTCTTCTTCGTGATTTCGTATAAGGGCAATATCATCAACGTAGACAATTAGCACAGTAATTTTCCCATCTGGGAAGTGTTTGATGAACGACGTGTGATATGCTTGAGACTCTGAATAACCATCTTGTTAGAGCACTTTACAGAACCTGTCAAACCAAGCTCTCGAAGATTGTTTGAGCCCATATAATGCCAACTTGCACACATTTCCTTTTGTTTTTTCCGTTTCAAAACCGGCCAGTACATCCATATACACTTCCTCACATAGGCTTCCATTCAAGAAAGCATTTTTTAAATCGAGTTGGAATAAAGGCCAGTCTTGGTTGACAGCAATAGACAATAGAACACGAACAATATTAAGTTTGGCTACCGAGACAAATGTTTCCTGGTAATCAATTCCATAAGATTGAGTGAACCCTTTTGCCACTAGACGAGCCTTGTATCTATCTATGCTTCCATCTGCATTATGTTTTATTGAAAAAATCCATTTACATCCCACGGTTTTCTTTACCGGGTGGCAAAGATGTTAGGAGCCATGTGTCATTCTTTTCAAGAGCATTGTACTCATCGAAGGTTGCTTTTCGCCATTCTGGTACCTTCAAAGCTTCATAAACAAAACTCAAAATCGCAGTTTTATCCAAGGAAGTCACAAAGGATCGAAATTTCTCTGACAAGTTTGAGTATGAGATATAGCTTCGAAGTGGGTGTTGAGTACATGATTGAATCCCTTTTCTTTGAGCAAAGGGCAAATCCATCTTTGGATCATTTGCTATTATCTCCTCGGAGTCTGATTTTGTACTCGATTCTGTCTCATTGTGTAACGTTTCAGGATGGACTGAACTAGGGAAAGATTCTTGATTTGTTGGTTTCGTTCTGGTTCCAAAGGTTTTTCTCTTCTTGTGTAAACTTTATTTCTTCATCAGGGAGATTAAGGTGTTTAGGACGGACTCCAGATTGACGACTTATTTCAGACGAATCAGGTGAAATTTGAGGAGACGATGCATGAGAAGGATGACTTGTTCTCGACTCAAAGATGGTTGTCCATTCCCAATTTTGTGATTCCTGAGTGCTTTTCTCCCCGTGAATTGCAAAATTGAGAAAGAATGGTGTATGCTCAAAGAATGTCACATCCATAGTGTCATAGAATTTTTGTGTTACCGGTGAGTAACATTTATAGCCTTTTTGATTTGCCAAGTATCCAAGAAAAACGCATTTAACAGAGCGAGCTTCAAGTTTGCTGCAATTGTGAGGGTGAACATGAACGAAAGCAACACAACCGAAATTTTTCAGTGGGATCTGAGATAAAAGTCTGGAGGTTGGTTTATTTCATGAAAAATTTGCAAGGGAGATTTGAACGTAAGGACATGAGAAGGCATCGATTAATGAGATACGTGGCGGTTAGAAGAATATCGGCCCAAATTTTTTTGGGAACACGGGTTTGAAGGAGCAAGGCTCGAGCAATTTCGAGGATGTGACAGTTTTTGCATTCAGCCACACCATTTTGTTGTGATGTGTCCACGCATGAGTTTTGTTGAACAATTCCATGAGAATTGAGATAAGAACCAAGATTTGAATTGAATAAATCCTTCGCATTGTCAGTTTTTTGAGAATTTGAATATTGGTTTTAAACTGGTTTTGGACCATGGCATGAAAATGTTGGAATATGGGATTAGTTTCAGTTTTATCCTTCATCAGAAATGTCCAACATAATCGAGTATGATCATCAACCACCAATAAAAACCATCGAGCACCCGTGATATTTGGGATCTTGGTTGGTCTACAAATATCACCATGAATGAGTGAGAAGGGGTGACTTGGTTTGTAAGGTTGTGGAGAAAAAGTGCTACGTGTGTGCTTTGCGAGTTGGCATACTTCACAATGTAAATAGTTCTGATTTATGTGAAAGAACAATGATGGAAACAAATGTCTCATATATGAAAAATTAGGACGACCTAGACGAGAATGCCACAACATAATTGCACTCTCTTTATTCGACTGGAAGATGGACCTAAGGCTACGAACATGCTCTAGCGGAGGCTTGACACGAATCTTACTAGTTGTGGAATCGGGAGTTGATGAAGTGTTCACATTGAGAAGATAGAGACCTTCACGAAGTTCAACATTGCCAATCGTCATCCCCGAGTTCATGTTCTGAAATGCACAATATTTGGCAAAAAAAAATTAGTTTCAACATGGAGATCACTGTTTAATTTGCTCACAGAGAAGATTACAGTCTAGACCAGGAACAAATAGCATAGAGCATAGAGTAGAGGTGAATTGTTCCTGCCCCTTCCACAGCAGTGCGAGTACCATTCCCTATGCGAACAGTTTGCTGCTTATTGCAAGGGGAAAAACTTGAAAAAGAAGATCTGTCACCTGTCATGATTTGAAACACTAGAATCGACTATCCATGATGAAGGAGTTGCACTATCACCAACATGAAATGCGAGATTGCTTCATTGTTGGCAGACGATGAGATATTAGCCTTTGCTTATGAGCTGTTGAAGTAATGCTATTTGGTCCTTTGTAAATGGCACTTGATTGTTGGCTTGGGACTGCTCAGTAACTATTGTATTTCCCCTAAGCTCACGGTCTCGGCTTGGTTTCCAATTTGAGGGCATTCCATATAGTTTCCAGCACCCTTCTTTCAGATAACCAGGCCTTTTGCAATGATTACACCAAGGACATACTTTTCTTGGTCGATTATCATTGAAGCTTGAGGACATTCCTTGGGAAGCTAAAGCGACAGAGTTTGGAGCGGGGTCCTTGGTTGTTGCGAGAGCTGAAACATCTAGGGAAGAAGATGGATAGGTTAGTCCCATCATGATTCGCTTACGACTTTCCTCTTGACGTACTTCAGAAAAGACTTCCCGTAATTTTGGTAATGATTACATCCCTAGGAGTCTTCCACGAACTTCATCAACAGACTTGTCGAGACCCATTAGAAACTTAAAGATGCGTTTAGTTTCCACAATGGATTTCAAAAAAGTTTGATTGTCAGAACACTTCCATTCATGTGCTCAAGCAAATCTAATTGTTGCTAGTAACGAGTGAGAGTTGAGAAATTGGTGGTGACAGAGTTTTCTCCTTGACGTAAATCTTGAAGAATACTCTCTACATGGAACAACTCAGCTATGTTTTCACTACCGGAGAAGGTTTCTCGTGCAGCATTCCAAATTTCTTTCGCAGTGTATAGAAGAAAGTTCTCTCCTATTTCAGTTGTCATTGAACTGAGCAACCAAGCCATAATTTGATTGTTTTCTACCCTCCATGCTCTGAACTTTGGAGTATTAGATGTTGGTTGAGTGAATGTGCCAGTAAGATACTATCTCGACCACATCCACTTGTAAACATCATCATGGATTGGGACCATTGAAGATAGTTATGCCCGTTGAGTTTGTGACTCGTGATACCGATAAGGCTTTAATCGGTTGAGGTTTGAATCATTTGAGGAGGGTTCAAAGGAGATACATTTAAGTTATCTGAGGTTTCGAAACCAAACATTTGGAATAATACGATAAGGCAGAGATAAAAATAACTTACTGTTGGCTTCTGAAAAAGTGATCAGGTGAGTAACAATACCCCGGACTCGTTGAAACTTGTAGAGTGACGAGGGAGAAAATTGATTTGATAAATCGACTAATTGAAATCGATTTGATGAGTTAACTGGATAAAATCGACCGGATGAAATTGATTGGATGAATCGGTTGGATGAAATCGATTGGATGGATCGGTTGGATGAAATCGACGTGATGAAATTGGTTTGATGAAATCGATTGACTAAAAAATCAATTTACAATTGTGATTATGAAGGCACGAAATAGAGGTCGGTTCAGATTGATCAAAAATGGAGCTTAAGCTCTGATACCATGTAGTAAAGATAGTTGGGAATAATTCTCTATATTGATTTAAAGAGAATGATACACCCATTTATAAACACAAGAAAAAGATCCTACCAAATAAATTACCAAAGCGGAAAAAGGAACCTATACAACAAATCACTCTATCTATGGAGAGAATATACAATAAAATCACTGATTATAAGAGATTGATTCCTAATAATCACCACACAATATTTCCACCAGTTTGTTTTCCTACAATGTCCAATCCTTTTTGAGTGATTATATAAATAAAAGCAATGAAATTAGTCACTTAGAGAAATATTTGTATATAATTATGGATTTTGATGCTTTAACATAATATAAAAGTAATTTTATCTTAAAATAAACCGCTTAAGCATCTATTTAACGCCTGGTTAGGTGATTCACTTACTGCCTAGTTCACATAATACTTTTTAGAACACTAATACACTATACTGCAGATAATTGCAAACACTGACCATAGAAAAGGAGCAACGGTCATAGGAAATGGCTGGCAACCAAAACATGTGGCTTCTCCTTTTCTGCTTCGATTTCTCTTGACACCCCATCTCTAATTTCTTGAACGCGTGTGTCCCAGATTTTGTCGACTAGCTTCCAGGTATCATCACTAACAATTTGAGTCTGCACACAACGAAAATGCAGCCATTTCAACAAGATGAATGGTTAACGCTTAAATCATATGTATAAACTCTGCACTAACCTCCATTGGACGAGGGGCACCAAAAGTTGCAAATCCAACATTGCCGGGTGCAAATGTCACCCTACCTGGAAGTGAAGCACCATGGATTCCCCACCTTCCCGCATGTATCAATGCAGCATATTCATCCACCGGGATCACACTTGGCTGAAAAGATGGTATAACAGCTAGGGGTGTAAATGGATAGGATACTAATACATCTGTTTTTATCGGATTTTAATTGTATGCATTTAGATATTGTCTGATATTTTATAAGAATCTTAGACGAATAATGTATCAAGATAACAAGCCCGTTATGTATGTGAGCAATATATATTTTTTGTATAATCATCAGGAACATACTTCACAACTAAATAAATATAAATCCTTATTTTTCAAATCACATAATTATCATGTTAATATTCTACATAAAAGAATATTCGAATAGCAGGTATTTTTTATACAGATATGATCATATCCACATCCACTAGTGGGTATGGATACTCATCACTTCAATATGGACATGAACTTGTGGCTATGCAGATTTTCACACATCCATTTATAACCTTATAAATAACCCTCACAAACTGCAAAGCTCTGAAGCAATGATACACATTTTATTAATCCGAGATGCAATGATCCAAAAAACTTAAAAGATTGGCAATTCCTGATAGTTCAATTAATCTAAAAATTGTATAGCATACACACAGTAAATGCAGAAATTTCCATTTATGTCCCATATACATACAGGAATATTCCTGGAAGTTTCTGAAATATAAAAGAAAATTTTACCTCAATCCTACACGGATTACATAAATATTGTTAGATGTGGCTTTAATTGAAATAGTTAGTTTTGTTTTTTCTGTTTGCGTGTCTGACTGTTACCAATATATAGTTGGGTTATCCTCATTTTTGTAAAGATAGTCTCAATTTCGTAAATAAGATTCTTTCAATTTTCTCCGTTCTTCCAAATATTCTCTCTACATAGCTTTCTCTAATTTCTCAACAAATATTCTATTTATTATAAAATCTACTTAACAGGGTTCCTAGTTTAATTTTAGAATTTCCTCAAGGGGTGCCACTATCACCCCCCCCCCCCCGGCTGCTCGGCTTCTCCTTTCGACATCTTTGCAATAATGAATACACAACTTAAAAGTGATGCATTTTGTGTAGTATGTGAAAAATCAATCCTCAGGTAGCACTTATGGGATTTGAGAGGAAACAACAAACATAAATGTTCAACAGAATAACAATTCAACTATTTACAAAGTGATGAGAATACTTGAGGGGTCAATTTATTAGAACATGCATGCACCCAACCACCCAGGCCCATGCCAGCACACAAATACACACATATTGACATACACATACATGGCTTTATGTGAATATATTCATAGTTTCATGCACACACACATATATACATACGTAAATACATACATATACATAAAAATTCTGTTCACAGAAATGCAACACAAAGAAGCTTATAAACGATATATGCATCCACGTTATAGGGGGGAACTAGTTTATAAATAACCTGAGATATCCGAGGGGAATTTCTGTAGATATTCCAAATTTCATCAGCTTCAATTTCCCCTTTCTCAAGCAGAATATCTGTAGCCATATGGTAGCAACATTTTCTTACTAATTGTGTTTGCTAACAAAAAAGAAGGCGTCGTGCTGGCCCATAATACAAATGCAGCACCGTAATGCTGCACCTATGCACATGTTTCATAGGCAATTATGTATGTAAATAAGAGGGGTTGTGACTAATAAGCTAGCCTCCAGATTTTATCAAAATTATTGCACTCAACATTTCATTAAAAACCAAAGGGCCTTTGGCCTAGCGGTATGTGAACCTTTGGCAGCAGGTCAGGGGTTCAAACCTCACCAAAGGTGAGGAGGATGTGTGAGTTTATTTATTCTATTTGCCGTATATAAATACTATACACTTCAAAAAAAAAAAACATTTCACTAAAATATAACAAAACAAACCTGTGATCTCTTCTACAGCAGAATGATATTCTCTCAAGACAGAATAACATTTTTCCATAGCAAAACGCAAGTACTCATCGGTAAGTGCTTCAAGTTTGGCTGCAAGCTATGGAAAAACTAAACTATCAGAAGCTTCGGAAAGAATGAAACTTTATTACAGTGAAACATTAAATATGAATATAATGCAGATGATTCAATTAGCCAACTATCAAAATTCTGGGACGAATCTACAGGAATCAAAACTAATGCTACCATAATGATAAAAAGGGTCTACGTTTGGTATCAAAACGTTCTGCTCTGATACATGCTGCAAGAAGGTTCTAGAAGCATAAAACTCTATTAAAGATTAATTATAATGATATAGCTAAACCAGTGCCTAGAAATAAAGACCATGACTGAAGAATATAATAACTAAAAGCAAGAATACCTAAGGTAGTATGATGATGCTAGCTTATATGTTGTGAACGAATAAAACGGCACTTACATTTGGTACTAAATCATTTTTCTTTCGGTAGAACGCCTTCCCCAACGATGTCATTCCTGACTGGAGAATTAAAAATTCAGCTAGCATTGAAGCTTCTGATGTAGCTTTTGCAGATATCCAGCATAAATTATCTAATCCAAACATCTCCTCTTCAATTACTCTGGCTATAAAGAAAGGAGGATGTCAGGGATACATCCGAGACAAACTTATAACAAGGTAAGATGTTAAGGAATGAAGACTAATATACATACGAGCACAAGCACGGATTATGGAATTCACATAATCTGATTTCCTTTTAAACACCCGGCCTGAAATATCTACGTAGCGCATGTTTGATTGGCCCCTAACAGAATTGATATCTGTCTGCATATGGAACAATTTCAAATACTCAAGAAAAAGGATCCAGATCCGGTAACTAATTTTACCCATAATGACATATGACATATCTACTTACCCCCATAAATGGACGGTGGGGATCTGGAAAGTAGCATGCAAGAACAGAAACCGCTGCTTCTCTGTATGCCAGCCTCAGTTTTAGCTCCTCAGGAACTTCACTTTTATCCTCTTGACCTGTTTCAAATGTTCCCTTTTGCTGCAATATCGATATATAAACCATGAACAGAGTAATATGTGAAGGCAAGACATAAATTTAACTGAACGCAACGTTTATTTTCCTTCCAACTCTTAACACCTACCCTTTTCAAGGCCTCAAGAAGTTCTTCTCGTCCTATGTAGTCCAAATCCTTTCTGGCCGTCAAAATACCAGCTTCATTCCTGTAGACTTAATTGTTAGCTTCTATCCATCAACCAGGATTAAGAACAAACTAAAGCATCAATAGAATTACAGTATATTCTGTAGTTCTGCTCCAGTAAAATCTTCTGTTTTCTCTGCAAGTTCCAGCAATAGGGTATCCTTCTCCTCCTCGGAACGAAAATATTTGTTTTTTGCATGCACCTAATATACCATACTTCAATCATAACAGTAAAATTTAATGAAGGTGGATTCTGAAGATGGGAATCTTTTAAGGAGGTACCTTCAATATAGCCAATCTACCATCTTTAGACGGCAAACCAACCCTTATTATTTTATCGAAACGACCTTTCCTCAAAAGTGCAGGATCAAGAATATCCAGCCTATTGGTTGCTCCGATAACTAGCACCTATATACCCAAGGTTAGCTTGTGCAGGAGCACCATCTAGTGTTATGAACTAGAATGAAAAATATAATCAATACCTGAGATGTTGACTCTTTAAACCCATCCATTTCTGTTAATATTTGAAGCAGGCCTTGTTCCCTTTCTGCGCCACCCTATTAAGTAAATAGAATAGTGAAAAAATTAATATAGAGCAGACTTGTACAAACTGCTACGATAAACAAGGTACATATAATTTATGTATAAAGAGAAAACAAGCAACTCTTAAGGTATTGCTGAATATTCAATCATAACCGAGGTTATGTTTCTTCTCTTGTTTCTCGTCACCTGTTTTTTCTTTTCTTCTATCATTTATGTAAGTACTTAACAGCTAACAGTAGAATTTTGTTATGCTTAAAATAGAAAATAGGTTGTCTGCATCCATCAGTCCTATTTCTTAAGGACATGATGTAGCTAAGCAAATCAGAAAATAAGGGGAGCTATCTAGGCAAGTTGGCAAGTTACTTATTAGTGAAGATCTGATGCATATTCATATTTAACTTCTTCTGAATCATGAACTACTTCGGTGTCGATGTGCAAACTGGACGCAAAATTTTAGGAGACCTACCTTGCTATGTAGTTTGAGTTGGGCTGCTACAAATAACATGGGTCTGCAGCCACATTAGTGAGAAACAACATGGCACACATCAAGATGATGGTTTACCAGAGAAAGTTAGAAAACATGCAATGACTAGCAGGTATAAGTATATCATAAGGCTCAACTCTAAGATGGGAAGGTGTGAGGAAATATGTTTGAATAGCCGACTTCACTTGACCGTGTCTAAGCATGGAAATGTAAGCATAGCAATTGCGCAACATTCTTTTTCTACCCTACCCCTTCCAATCCTAATTTCCAACTGTCTTAATGCATTGAATGAATCTCAATATCTCATGTTCAGCCTAACACCAACCAGTTAGGAAGATGGATAGGTTTATATAAGTTCATACATGGTGATGGTGACTAAAATAATGAATATACCAGCACGAGCATTTACTAAATTCAATTTTCTTCGTTATTATATACAACATGGAATTGGTCTGCATCACTACGATGTTTAAGATGAATATTTATAGTGTCAAAAATCAAAGAACAATGACTATAAGATGGCAAAACAAATCAAACATGGAGTTCACTGAAATGTGTAAAATTAATCTTCATTTTCCTTGTGCCAAAGTAACGTGGAACATTCAAACAATTTTTGCAGGTTCAAAGAAGGCATTGTTACCGTACCCCGCCAATGTCAGGACCACCACGTTTGCTACCAATAGCATCAATTTCGTCTATAAAGATGATGGAAGGAGCATATGATCTTGAACTAGCAAAAAGATCCTTCACACGAGATGCTGCAACTCCAACAAACATCTGCAAGAGAACTTTGAAAGTTAGCCAGCATCCTGGTCCTGCTACCTTAACCTTCCTAAATTTTTGTTGTAACAAATGTGATCCCATTGTGTTTGTAAAGAATGTATGTTGCTCAAGCACTTACAATCACCAAATGCATAGCTGTTAACGTAGAGAAACCTAATTTAACAAACATGTATGTAGAAACTTGGTCAATTACGAGACCACCAAGGTAGAGCAAACCAGGCATGAAGTAGAACCCATCAAAAGCTATATCTGCATATGCACCAGTGGCATCTATCATTCTATCTTGAGTAGTTTATGATAGTAGCCAACAGTAGTGAAGTGGTGAGTTGCTAGTATAGAGATTCCACAAAGATAAAAAGAAAATCAATTAATCTGTAAATGGGACTGCCAGCACATAAATAACTAGAAATGATGAAACATCTTGTTGGCAGTGAGTGAGCTAACAGAGAGAAAACTCATTGTACTTTGTGAAAGATGTCAGCATAATAAAGCAATCAGGGGTTATATTAGTTTACTGACGCAAGATAACATGGTTGAATTACCTATTGTCTAGCCTCTTGAGCAAAAGAATTTCCCGGTATGATATCATGAAGAATGCACTCATTATACCCAAGCCACCCTCTACAGTTGGTCAAAAACTGACGTTTACCCTAATCAAATAATAAGCTATATTGACAGCTCAAATTGCTGAGAGTCCCTCGATTCTATTCATCTGAACCAGCACTTTCTGCAAGACATGAAGCAGTCATCTATCTTCTTAACAACTGTAGTCTATTATGGTTCTGGTATCCACAAGTCCTCATAAGACAACATGTACTATGCTTCTGATTATCAAAACTGAAAAAGTTAAGAAGAAGATAAGGTTTTTGACCTCGACAAAATCCGTGCCATTCGCTGCAAAGAAAGGAAGACCTGCTTCACCAGCTATAGCCTTTGCTAGAAGGGTTTTACCAGTCCCAGGAGGGCCATGAAGTAGCACGCCCTTAGGACAGTATATGCCTTTATTTTGGAATTCTTCATCATTCTTGAGTATTCGAACAATCTCTTGCAATTCCCTCTTTATATATTCCTGTCCCGCAAAATCATCAAAGGAGACACCAGTTGTTTCTTCTGCTGATATAAATTTCGCCCTGGAGAGTGATAGAAAGAAAACTTAGAACCCCATTTCCACACATGATAAATTAGCAAGGTTACTGCAAAAGGTTCATCAGACAGCATCATAATCTACTCACTCAAGATCCATCAATTTTTAAATTACATCATAAAAACTAAAGAAGTGTTACAATCATGTTGGAGAAACAGAAATTTTGCAATTCCTTTTACATCAGAAAGAATATTGTATTCACCATAATCACATCCACTTTTCTGGAAACATTGGTAACACTCAAATGTTTTTTATTTCATTCAACATGTCTACAAATGTTGGGACATCTGTCACCTTTAAGAACTACTAGGCTTGCTATAAGTTTCCTTGTATATTTTGCTACAGAAGTTTGCTGCAATCATGGACCTTGGGATATGATGCAGTCCATCTCGGTTTTAATCTTCTGAAGTAATGTTGCACTCATATATTACCACGATGATAGCCAAGGCAGTATCCAAGTCAGTACTATTCTGCAAATGCGTAACCTTAATTTCGTAAGTTCCAACCCCTGATAAAATGTGTAAAAAAATTTGACCGCAACCTATATCCTATTTTCTTATCCTAGTATGGTTGTGTTGTCACCAATGTAACTGCATAGATAGTACAATAGTCGGAACTTCTTCAACCAATTTATGAAGCACTTATTAGAGACTAACAGCCCTTGGTATCATGAATTTTTCTCCATCCATCTTTCAAACTTAATGGTCGCAAAACAAAGTGGTAATCCATCAGAAGACAGAACCCATCAACAGGCACTGTTACAGATTCCTGCTGTTAGCAAAAAAGTAATTAGCAAAAAGTTGGCTCCATTAACAGGACCTGCTATAAATGCCCCTATTATTACTTTTTTCCTCTCTCTATGACCCCTTAGGACCCTTTTCCAGGTTCTATAAGATCCTATGTCATGGAGTTAATCACCTCTAAAGTAATGCTCAATTTTATAAGAGAAGTAAGTTTAGGAAGTTTAGATGCTCTATATAAATTTGTGATTAATTTGCCATTTTGTGTCAAAGGTGATGAGCATTATCTAATGCTCTAATCAGTGTGTGGTTTGTGACCCATTCATTTGAAGAGCTAAATAGGTGGATCAAGAGGCACGTAGGGAACAAGTAGAACTAAAACCTGACACACACACACCCCTCCAACATTTAAAAACAACAAAGAACATGTTAACAAAATAGTGTCAAGATATCATAGCACTCCAGCAACTTCTTTCACATGTTCTTTTGGATTGTCCATGAAACATTGTTCATCAGCACAATAGTTTACATTTGATGTGAAAGCAAAAGCTGTCAACACAAGCCCCACACAGAAGATATTCAAAGTAACTTCACAAAACCGGGCAGACATGGCAATGACACTTCTTTAAGAACCGATTACTAAGTACTCAATCAAATGTAACCAATTTGCATAGTAAAATGCTGCAAACATATGTGAAAATGCAATAATATATCCTTCTTCCAAGTTAATAATTGATTGTGCTTCTACTTGATTAGAGTACAGAGTACGGTTGAACTCGACAAGGGGTTCATGATATTTCAGCCACAATGAAGTCTTATTTACTTACCGACTCTCGCCTAACGATCCAAGTGTCTCGTTTTTTATTGGCTGCCTTATCTTTTTAGGGGGGCTTCCCAAATCACAAGGAATTAATTTTGCGTAGATTGGCCTCATCATATTATCAATCCAGATGTACAATCCTATAGCAAGAGCAAGCCGCATTGACCAGACAACAATAGTTGCAACACTGGAATAGACTTCTGCAGGAACAGTATTCACATTAAGGATATCAACATTGACAATTTGTTGATGCAGCTTTTGCCAAACGTCATTCCAGCTATCAACAGGCATACGGTCAACAACATGCCGCCGGAAAACAATATCCTTCTTTGAGTCAACTTTTGATTCTCCGTCCTTATAATATGGTAGAATCACTGCAAAATAGTAAAGTATGTGAGAATAGAAAACCAAGGACTTGAGGAAGATTAGGATGAACTAACAATTAATAATATTGTGGTTTTCTAATAATCTTGCAACTTATTATTACTGAAAAGTAAAAAATAAACATTATTTATACGAACAGAAAACGAAAGTGACTAGTTGAAACAACTTTGATGTGGATAGAGTTATGGGATTTTCTTTAAATAGCGACAAGTTGACAAGGAAATACGACACATGTAAAAAAGAAAAATCCTTCATATAAAAAGAAAACAAAAACGAGTACTTGAAAAAACTTTAAAGTGGATAAGGTGATGGGATTTTCTTTACATAGCGACAAAATGACATCGGAAAACACATGAATAACAGCGTCCGACTCCCTTCGTGTTCAGAAATAAGATTCCTACTCCTGTCCTCCGCCACCCAAACCAGGACAATAAGTTAACATAAGCAAGCAGTCAATCTAGTAGCCCAATGGTAGCTAAATGAATTCTACTGAACTCACTCAATTTGTTTATGGAACTTTAACAAAAAGACAAAAATCTTATAGAGTAGGAGAGACATCACTCCCAATATCGAAATCCAATATTGCTGCTCAAATTGCAGCACGAATCTTGCACATGCCCAACTTGCCAATTGAGCCTTCCTAAAAGTTTTTTCAAGCTGCAAGGTGCGATGATAGGTCCAAATATCAATAGGCTCAATGAATGGAGGCTCTATAACAGCAAACATAATACAAGTGTGCATATAATAATCCTATCCAAGACATTTCTTGTAGAAGATTGAGTAATTAGGATCCCTCCATGACATACCGACCATCAAAAGAACTTAGATGGATGACCAAAACTAACTCGACTCAACTCGTTAACACCCCTACTTGGGGAGAACCGTTTGAGACAGTATAGAGGCTGTTGAAGTCAACAAACCTTTGAGGGGCAAAGCGATGAACCCTTATCAGATTCATATAAACCTCTTCCTCAATAAAGCTACTGAGAAAGACATTATTCATACAAGAACAACCGATTGAGTTGCTTGTGGTAGAAAGAAGCTAGAGCAACACATTGGCACACGCAAATTTCATTATAACTGCTTATGTTGAACCCTTACCCAAACAGGAAGTGTTCAAAGATAGACACATACAACATGGTATATCAAATAGTTTCATCAAGCATAAATCTGATAGTCTACTAACTAGAAATCTGCAATGACAACTGCAATTAGAGCAAAAATGATGGGGATAACAAACAAGAGAGTATTATTCACCTTCAACATATGAAGTTTTTTTATTCGGTCACATCAAAGGGTAGAGAGATATATGCACAAGAAGATTCAAATATAATCCCATGAGCAGCTATACTTTAAAAAAATTGAAAATAAAATATCTTAGCATTATCACTCGCAAGAGTTTTAGAAGAAGTTTGAGTGAGCTTGATCATAAATAGAAAACTTGCAGAACACAAATTTTTTTCTATATTTTAGTAAATAGACCCACATAGCAAAAATAATTATTAACATAAATGAGCCAGGCCTCCAAACAACATCATCAACCAAGGTAAACCATCAAGTATATGAATACTCTTACGGAATGTGGTACACGTGTGCTTTTCTAACTCACGTGATTGTCAACTGAAATGCAGGCCTAGGTTTCTTCAAATTAGGAAGAGATGGATGTGCGGGTCAGATTCTGAACACATGAATCATGGCATACACGAATAATCTGATTTCCTAACTCATAAATGCACATCAAGTAAGAAAAAACTTCACTTAGAAGTTTATTGTTTAGTAATTTTACTAACAACAGCAAGTTCTATAGGAAAAACTTCAGAAGAATGTCGGTTAATGTAACACCACCAATCAAATGAAAGATATTCATTGTATACAGTTAATTCATAAGAGTATCATCTGCATATACTACATGGATCATGGATGAACCTCTATGATCAATTATTAAGGTGACTGTTCCAGATCTTCATTCACCACCAAAAATGAGGTGACTCACCATCTTAAAAACTAAAATAAGAATGAGTAGTGATGTCGTGATCTATGCAGTTAATAGCGCGCTATAGCGGCGAAATAGCGGATGGCGGTCCTGGCCAAAACAGCAGTATATTATAGTGGTACCACAAATAGCAGTCGCTATTACCGCTATTGACCGCAATTTTGATACCAAATAGTAGTCGCTAATACTGATTTTTCTTTTGGCCTCCTTTTTTAAATATTTGGGCTTTGGTATGTCATTTATGTGGGCTATTTAGAGTCAAACTTAGGCCTGCAAACAAAAAGGAAACCAATTAAATCAACATAGAAACAATTTAGGTCAAACTTTGTTATCAATTCCAAGTCAAAGCTCTGCTCATCGATTCCAAGTCCAAAAAGCTTCAACAGCTCGAGTTTTCTTCTGGATTCCACGGTTCCTCAGGTTTTCTGCTATAGTTTTCTTCTTGAGTTATCTTCTCGTCTCAACAGCACAGCTCCTATTACTATGTTGCTTACTCTGTTACTATGTTGCTTGTGTGGTTTGAATTGTTTGACTAGATATGTATTAGACATGCAATATTTTAAGTTTTATGTATATTCGTATTTATTTTATGAACATAACTTCTCTACCGAAATATCAAAGCGACCGCTATTTCAAGTCAAGGTCCCTACCGCTATTTCCGCAATCGACTGCGTTAACTGCTCAAGTCATGATCTTCCAGAAAAACTGAAAGATGTCTTTGCAATAAAGCACCTATAAGAGATTGTGCTTGCAAGGCATGAAGGCAAACAAAATAATATGCAATTAAATGGCCATTTCTTTATACATAGTTACCCACGGGCATTAATTTCAACGAAGACCGACCATTATTTCAGATTCGCTAAATTACAGCTCACTTAATAAAAGACACAGCCACAACATTTCCTATTGCATGGTGTTACACTCTCGTATATGGTGGCCGACTCTATATAATGCATATGCTTACACATTAGCATATGCATACGGATGCACATGCACACACACACATACATACATACACATATATGTGTGTGTGTGTGTCAAAGTTGTGAAAAGCACGCCTGAGGTGCGCCTAGGTTCTTAGGCTCAAGCTCGTGGGCTTTTTGCATGTCGAGGCAAGGCGTATCGATGAAGCACACCAGGGCGTGCCTTTTAAAGATTTATTTAATACCAGTCAAACAAACCCTAATATTAAATAACTTTCTTGTCTCTTACACTTCTACAAAAAAGAGTTATTAAATAAGTCAAACCCTAATATTAATTGGGTCTAATAAATTCCTAGACTTCTACAAAAAAGAGTTGTTAGATAAGTCCTAATATTAAACAAGTCTATTCAGTTCACATCTCCTACAACTTCAAGGCTCCCTATAAATGCATTCCATACCTCAAACTTCTCCTCACGGCTTTAAAACCAAAACTACTATGTTTGTATGTATGTATGTAGGTATATATATATTATATATTATAAGATGAGCATCGCATTCCTGAGGCCCCCACCTTGCGTCTAGGCCTCGGACCCCTTGCTCCTAAGTGTGCCTTGAGCTTTTAACAACTTTGGTCTGCGTGTGTATTACGTGAGTATATACATAGAATTCCTCTAACCTACAGCAGAATATACATTACCGATACTTCACAGTATTATCTGAATGTGCTATGAAATACTAGAACTACAATTCCATACTTTTCAAGATTACTCTTACATCCTGACTATCCCTTAACTCTATGAAATGAATTCTATTAAGTATTAACTGAATGCAAAAGGAGCTTTCAGCATTTTGAGATAAGTACCAAAACAATCACCAACAAGGAGACTTAACCTGATACTGTCTGCCCGTAATTTGAGTACTCCATATATTGAACATTGTTTGAATTAAGGAGTCTTAAGAATTCACTATAGTCAATCTTGTGTGAACTTTCAGGGTCCCACTCCGTTCCCTTTAACTTCTGCTGCATGGTCAGTAACGTCCTGCTCCAATTTGAAGCCATGACGAGTTGCCGTTCTAATTGCACATTTGCTTTTCTGTCAAGCTCCTCCAGTTTATTTATTCTCTCTCTCTCTGCCTCCTTCAGCTTCTGAAACCACGATTGTTCAAGCAAAATTTATTATCAGGTATTAACTGAAGTACAGCATTCTAACCCAGGAAAACACAAGTGTTCAACTTCAATTATTTGAAACAATTCATATTTTCTATAGCACCTATAAATCCCCATCAAAAACCCCGCCCCTCCCACAAAACAGAAGAGAAAAACCCCAGAAACAACATAAAATTGAATTAAACAACATAGAACGCCACAAAATAACTACGAAGAAGAGATCAAATGTGAACGTAAGGGAGATGCCCACAGTGCTATCCATCTCTTCTCATTTTACATCTGACAAAAAAAAATAGAATCTAGATCGCAGAACCATCCTTGATTCACGGAGAGTAACGGTGATGCATCAGTAAATATAAAATAAACAATTGAACCAAGACAGGTAGTGGGTAAGAGCTCAACAAAGTAACACACGTATTATTATATAAAGATACTTGCTAAAAAATCCATGAAGAATGTGAGCGTGGAGATGACTACCTCCAGGAGGTGTACACATATGGAACCATATGCAATGTGTAAAGATGGAAAGGCAACCTCAAAGGGGCTATTTCCTAGACAGGGTGTAAGCTTAAGACAAGGTAGCATACAAAGGATTCCTTCTTCTGACTCCTAAGCAGCGAGTAATAATAAACAGGCCCATAAGGGATCATGTTTATTGTATGCACTCTAAGTGACGCGCATATGCATGTTTTTTGTACGCTCTCAGTAGTGAATCAAATAGGCTGTTTGTTTGGGACCATGCTATCAATAGAATAAGCTGCATGTGACTTCCATGTTCATTAAACTCATCACAGAAGTAGTAAAGTCATCATAGATTCTAGCAACTATCTTGTAAATTAATTAAAACATATTAAACCCTCCATGTACAATGGCAAAGGTTTGCTTGCTCTTCTTGTGGTCATCCTTGATCTTCTATTATACTGATTATTACACTCCAGAATCCTATAAGACCAGAATGTTTTCATTTACTTTTGTGGGTTTGAAAGATTTATATTGCAGAACCAGATAGATTCTATGCCAAGACTCGGATTATCAACATCTAATGATATAACACATCAAAATCAGTTGCAAAATACAAAAAAATTCTTATGGTGGTAAAGTGTAATAAGTAGAAGAAAATCCAATATAAAAATAGAAATTTATATTAGGTATATTCTGCGCATACATAGTTGCACTAATCCGATACTATGTTTTTTGTACAAACAAAAGGCCCAACTGGTGATTCAGCAAGATAACTTTTTTTATCATAATAAACATATCACCAATATAATAATACAAACAAAGTTAAAAGAATTAACAAAAAGATGTACAATTTTTGGGAAAATAAATCTTAATTTTCATGCTCAAATATAAATATTATGTATAAAGTATGAATGACTTGTTATAGCATATTGATACCTAAGAGGTGATGAACAATTGGCTGACATCTACCACGCTCTATATTTAACAAATGCATCTTTGTGACAACTTCATCAATAGGAGAAAAATAGATTTTCAATTATTACTTCCCGGGTTATTTGAATCTCCAAATAGAACTGTATGTATAACAGCCAAATTGTACTAGGATCTTCTATTCAAGGATAAAACTATGTTAAATCTGATTATTACGCCACCCTAGAGCATATTTGGGCCACTTATACACAGTTATCATATCAGGTAAACTAGGTATGGTTGACACCAGACAGCAAGTATACAAAATGCAACACCCAGCAAGCATGATCCTTATATACTACTACATGAAATTTGGAATTACTCACATATAGATTCTTAATATTTAATCATGGGCTACTCAAAGTGATAACTCCCACCATTCCGGGAGGAAAAAAAGGAAAACAAAAGGACATACACTTTGAATTTTGAGGTTAAACCTGGTACTTCTCAGGTTCCAAATCATATGCTTTTTCCTAGCAAATTTCACACCAATAATTTAACAGTAATATTGGCGAATATATTATTCTTGAAGTTGAAAGTTGGTCCAAGATCAAACTTTATCTCCCTTTTTAGGTAAGGAGGGAGTATATAACAACTTGATTAACCAATTACTCCCTCCACTGCCAATGAAAGAGAGAGAAAACATTTCATTTATTGTATCAATCCTAGAGGTTTGCAAATGCAAAGGCCTTGTAGAATTTGTTGCATTTTCTTACCCCACTGTTGTTAGATTAAAAGAACCTAGAATAATTTCAATCAATACAGCAATGCCACCATAAAAGACCAACACTTTTGTACATTTCAATGTTAAAAAGCAACACATTACGTCCATGGAAAGAGAATATTGTAACACTTATATGCATAATAGGCAAGGTTGAAGGTAGTGATCCACCTCAAACAGCTGCAAAGACTCTGAATTTTCCTGTTGAGAAGTAGACGGCGACACAACAGAATTTGAAGCCGATGAAGCCCTAATTTTGAGTCTATTATTGCCATGGAAAGAGAATTTTGCGTTGTTGAGCTTGAATGGAACGAATTTAGTGAAGAAAACATGGGAAGATGAAGATAAGGAAAAAGGTTTAACTAGGGTTTTATGAGAAGGGCATAAAGGCATCATTTCCAGCACTTCTTTTTTCCTATCTTCGTTACCCTAGGCACTAATGGAGTTCAGTTTGCTGTCAGAACAGATGTTTTGAGAGACCAAAAGGGCGGCAGCGTTTGCACCTATCTCATATACTCCTTAGGAGATGCAAATCTGTTGCGACCCACAAAAAGACGTCAAACTTTGTTCTACAATTCTTGACGTCTATTTCGAGTAAACTACGGTTAATATTCCTAAGGCGGGGCGCTAACGCTTATCCGGCAAGCGGTATCGGTAAAATCAAACATTATAAATACTTATTGGATAAGATTTTGGGTAAATTGCATGGAAAAGTAATGTATTTTAACTTGATTTCTATTTTGGGTAACGTATTTTTAAAACTTTCATTTTGATACCTAAAATGTAAACATTTAAGTACCCGGGTAATCCGGAAAGACTAATTTTAGACTAAAAAAAAGACTAATTTTAGATTTTAAAAAATCCACGCCACTGACCACGTCAGCAAATAATACCGAGTTTGATACCACATCACTCGTCATATTAGCATGATAATCGGTTAATATTTCAATGAGTTACCCGGGTACTTAAATGTTTAAAACTTTACATCTTAAGTACCAAAATAAAAGTTTTGAAAGTACGTTACCGAAAATAAGAATCAAGTTAAAGTACGTTACTTTTTCATGCAATTTGCTCTATCTATAGGTACCAAAATGAAAGTTTTAAAAGTATGTTACCCAAAATAGGAATCAAGTTAAAGTATGTTACTTTTTCATGTAATTTGCCCTAAGATTTTATTCAATAAAACGCATCGTATGTAACAATTTATCCCGGTAAGCGCTAACCATGAAGAGTCCTCGTCCTCACTTACCGGATAAGACTCGATTCTTGTAAAACTCGATTCTTGCATTCGCTATTATTATCCCCTGTTATATTCATGTGGTAAAGTAAAGTGACTTGGTAAGCGTTTATCCGGGTAAGCGTTTGGTAAACGACGCCTTATTGAAGGTTTTTTTTAACAAAATTAGTCTCAAAGACGATAATAACAACAAATTACAAACCATGAAAATCAAAATCAAAATTTCAACACCAAAGGAATAAAAATCACAATCTGGGGTGTTTGGGATTGTTTATAAAAACATCTTATTGACTTATTCCGGTGTGGCACCGATGATAAGCATTTTTGAGTGTTTTGATAAACAGTTTCCACCGGTGTCAAACCGGTAATAAGAAGTTTTTGAATAAGTTAAATCATTATAATTTATAATAAGTTGATAAACACTTTTGTAGAAAAGCATAAGTTCTTTCAAGTAAGCAATCCCACACACACCTAAGTTGGTTCAAAGAAATCAAGAGCTTAGATTGATTTATATTATGAAACAATACTTAAAATCTTTGTGATTGATCATGAGTTTAAATGAAAAAGATGTTGCTTGACTTGGTTCACTATCATCATTTTGTTTGAATCAAAGATAAGGTTGATAACACTGTGAATCTATAAAATTAGATTATTCAGTGACAGATACAGTTTTATAAAAATTTTATTTCAACACACGAGATATAAATATTTTGTTGCGTTTGATCCATTCTAGCTAGATTTTAGAAACCATCCATTTAAACAATCATTATGGTAATGGCAAACCCTATTTTTGCCTCGTAATAAAATTATATCAAACCAAACCAGCCAACATGACTATCAATCATATCAATTACAATTGATTAGTACCATTGTACCAACTTATTTAATTACTTATTATTTTTTTGTATTTTTTATGCATTGAATATTAAACACTATAACGATAACTATTTTGTTTGAAGATTTGGATGTTTATAAGTTTTATTCATTACAATTAAGAACATTTAAACATAACATATGTTACTTGGAAACTGAAATAGCACTCAAAATTTGAACAATATGACAAATATACAATATGCAACTTGAAGTTGTACAAAACCGAAACCAACATGTACCAAACGAAAAAATTCGCGATGCCGCCAAAGGAAGTGGCGATGCCATACGCAAAAGGGAAGAGACTCATCTGCAGGGTCCCAAATGAATTGGCTTATTCGAAAAAGACCTTGTTCTTTGGAAGATGTATTTGCGCCATCACCATCTTTGGTACCAAGTACAGTTAGTTAGTTGGTACACGGTATAGGATTTTGCGTACCAATTATAATTGGCTGGTGCACGGTATTGAAGAAAAAAATTTAGTACCATACCAAGTTAAGCACTATTATATTATGTGAAATTTGAGAACAAAATGTAAAATTATATATATGATCTTGAAGACCAGCTTTAGGATAACCTATTTAAATAAGCAAGCCAGTTTACACCTCTGCCCGACACCCCTCCGAAGCTCGAAGCGTATTTTGGAAAAAACCAGCTCGGCTAAGCTGTCGAAAGAGCATTGCACAATGACTTGTATGCACTTACGCAAACTTTGAATTTCTCTTCGGCCGTTGCCTGCAATAAATAAGTCATTAGGACTTCATAATCATTAATAAAATTAATTGCCATGCTTAATACTCCGTTGGGTTTCTAAGGGGCTGTTTACCAAACACTTACCCGGTAAGCATTTACCTGTAAAATTCAACACTATCACTTACTTACCGGATAAAATTTTAATCAACAAAAAGGGCATTGTATGCAACAATTTACCCGGTAAGCATGAACCATGTTAAGAGTCTTAACCATGAGTTGCGGCCCTCATTGGGTAAGACTTGGTCCTTGCCTCGCTCTTACCAGGTAATATTCTTGTTCCTTGGCATATTCATCTGTTAAGGTAATGTAACTTGGTAAGCGCTTACCCAGGTAAGTGTTTGGTAAACAGAATTGATCCGGTGCATCTCGATACACCCCATTAGTGTTGACATTCAATTAGAATTGATCCAGGGTGAAGATCTCTTCTTACATTTCTCACCATAGCTTCCCGTTCTCACCGAAACCCAACGCTATATGCATATATTTATGTATATGTGTGTAAATTCATATATATAAAAAATATTATATATTATATGTAGGGCTTTAAGAAAGTAAAAAAACTTGCAGTTAAAAAGGTCAAAAAAGAGTGAAAAACCATGCAATTGTTATCCAAAGCGAGTTTACTAACGGATACTAAATTGCAATTAAGATTGGGAACAAAGAGGACAGATTTGAGAGGATATTCGGTGACACTTTGATGGATCCAAGGCTGGTTACTTTGGAGCAGCTTCCATCGGCAATTCGGACAAATAAATGTGAGGAGCACGGTTTCAAATCATCAAACAACTGTGGGTTTCCAGTCATGTGATCTGATGCACCGGAAGCCACTATCCAGGTTTGAGATGATTCATTTAAGACAGTAAAGGGCTGCTGGTTGAACTGTTTCAGCAACATTTCCCAAGCTTGGGGTGGAAGAGATTAGAGAGGATGCCATAGCTGTTGTTTGGACATTGCTGGTTGTTGGACCGAGCCAAGCATCTTTTGAAGCATCTTCATTTGTTCTTTGTTGAATGGAGGAGTCTCGGCCTGAGGAGTCACGACTTTCAATGCCATTAGTTGCTCGTTTAGGCTTCCAATCAGCTGGCTTTCCATGTATTCTCCAGCAATTATCCCGGACATGGTCGGGTTTGTTGCAGTGGTAACACCACGGCCTTCCACTTTTGGGCCTGCTTTCATTTGATGATGAGTGATTCCCTCCTGGATGTGAATTTGAGTCCTTGTATGAGGATCCTCGTGTAGCAAGGGCAGATCGGTCGACTTGTAAGGTTGAAGGGACTGTCCCCATCATGACTTTCTTACCGATTTCTTCTCTTCTAACCTCTGAAAACACTTCCCTGATTGAGGGTAATGGTTTGATTCCTAGAATTTGTCCTCGGACTTCATCAAGTCCTTGTTGAGTCCCGTATGGAACTTGAATATTCTTCTCATCTCTACCATTTTCTAAATTGTAGCTTGATCTGCAGAGCACTTCCATTCATGAACTTCATAAAGATCGAGTTGCTGCTAATGCCTAGTCAGTAAGTTGTAATAAGTTGTTAGACCCCAGAATTCTTACTTGTAAAAGTATTGTAAAATATTCAAGTGCTGAAGACTAGAGACCCAATGAAGACAAACCAGAGATAGGCAATGAAAAACCAGAGATGCCTAACCTGATGATTACCTACTGATGAAAAGTCCTCTGGTCTATGAACACAGTCTCTCTGGAACCCAATCTGGTCTTCAGCTGCTAATGCTTAAGTCATCAGCTTTTGTCCAGTCAGCTCATGCCTAACAAACTGACACATGGAGGCTCTTGATTGGACATGCCACCTAGAGACAGTTATTCAACTTTACACATGGCAGGCTATGATTCATCAATGCCTTGACTTTGCTCTCTAGGAGGTTATAAATAGTTGTTGAACTGCATTATGTTAGACATCCTTCATGCTAGCTTTGATTACTTACTGTGTGTAACTCCCTTTGAATATCTGCAAATTGCAATTGCAATCAAAGTTTCTCTCTCAAATATCAATGAAGATAATGATGGCTACCAACTGTTCTTGATCATTCATAGCTATTTATGTGTTCTTCATAAACCAAGGAATAGATCATCTTCCTCGGCACTAATTTTCTAACACCTATTCATAGATTGAGAGAATTGGGATCTGACATAGGCAATGACGGATAACTCTCCTTGACGTAAATCATGGCGTGTGCTTTCGATGGCAAACAATTCTGCAGTGTTGTCGTTACTGGAATACGTATCTCGGGCAGCCTCCATATTTCTTGAGCCGTAGAGTAGAGAAGAAATTTTCCCCCTATTTCTAGGGTTATAGAGTTAATCAGCCATGCCATCACCATATTGTTTTCTAATTTCTAGTTCTTGAAACTGGGCTAATCAGATTTAGGAGCAAGAACAGCCCCTGTGAGGTGATCTTCCTTTCCTTGACCATGTATGTATAGCATGACCGATTGAGACCATTGAAAGAAATTATGGCCATTTAGTTTATGACCAGTAATTGGAAGGAAACTCTCAGAGTTTCCTAGAGGATTTAGATGAGAAGTCTTTGAAGTTGAGGTGACTTCCGAGTGGTTTGCGGAAGAGAATTATGTGTCAGTCATAATCATATTGAGGAAGGTGAGAGGACAACGATAGCAAGGGGACTTTGGAGCTTACCGTTGTTACTTAATCGCTGTTGTGATTGAAACACAGCAGGAAGAGAAGAGTAGTCTGGGATCAGAGATGCTCTAATACCATGTGGAATTCTTTTTTGTTTCACCTGTCTCAAAAGAATATGAGAAGAAAAGAAAAGGATTCCTAAATATTCACAACAGCTAATTACAAGGAGATATCACTCATAATCTTTGAATCCTATTTTACAATGATATCGAGTATCTTTAAGGATACCGAGTATCTCTAAGGATACTGAATATTTCTACACATCACTATTCAGCTTGGGTCGTTCTCTTGTGTAGTTGATGCCCTAGTCTATGAGCTAGGACCGTTGGATATGATATTAGGATACTGAATATTTCTACACATCACTATTCAGCTTGGGTCATTCTCTTGTGTAGTTGATGCCCTAGTCTATGAGCTAGGACCGTTGGATATGATATTAGGTATAGCATCGTTGGGTACCTTGCGAGACTTAATTTTCAACTAGCAAACCCAACAAATTCGCTTTTGGAGTTGGAGAACACTTGTGCTATTACAAGGGGTATTGTTGGCCTATCTCAATCACTCCTCATTAAAATCGTGGCTGTGGGCACAATTGTCAACTGAAGCAGAGTTTTTAAATTCATTTTAGCAAGCTCAACTCTCTTGATATTTTGTCTCAATTCTCCACCTTATTCCAAGAACCACAAGGCCTACCTCCTGCTAGGGCTATTGAACACACAATTAATTTACAAGAAGGGCAGGACCTATTTGTGTTCGCCCTTATCTTTATCCCCACCTTCATAAGGATGAAATTCAGAGACAAGTGCAAGAAATGATGACCTGGAATCATACGAAGTAAGTCAAAGTGCTTACTCCAGTCCCGTAATTCTTGTAAAAAAGAAAGACTCCTCTTGGCGTTAATGGATTGATTATAGAGCTTTAAATGCCCCATTCCCCTCATAGAAGAATTGCTTGATGAGCTCCATGTTTCCCAATATTTTTCTAAGATAGATTTGAAGTCGGGTTTCTATCAAGTCCGGTTCGAGAATCTGACACAAAAAAACAGCCTTTCACACCTATAATGGACATTACAAGTTCTTGGTCATGCCCTTTGGCTTGACCAATGTCGCTGCTACTTTCCGGGCCTGATGAATGAAATTTTCCGGCCATTCTTCGGCGACATACTTATTTACAGCCACACTTGGGAGCTACATCTGGAACTTGTGATTGAAGTATTGCAGGTCTTACAAACTCATTGGCTGGTCGTGAATAAAAAAGGTAGCTTTGGCCACAGTCAATAGATTACCTCAGTCACATTATTGATGGGTGGGGAGTTTCCATGGAGCCTTTTAAAAAAGCGACTCAATATTGAACTGGCCAACTCCTAAAACGATTAAGGCTATAAGGAGTTTCCTTGGGCTCATAGGATATTATCGGAAGTTTATTAATGGCTATGGCAAAATAGCACGTCCTCTAATCGACGACTAAGAAAGACGGATTTCATTGGGGACCTTCGGAACAAAACGCCTATGATAAATTGAAGCAAACGGCGGTCGCAGCTCCTGTTCTTGCCCTACCAAACTTCTCTCAACCATTCAAAATAGAATGAGAAGCTTCTGGCTACGGGATGGGGCTGTCCTCATGCAATCTCAGAAACCAATTGCTTATTTTAGCAAGGCCCTATCGGATGCGAACCTCAACAAGTCAGCTTATGAGAAAAAGATGATGGCACTCGTCCTTGCCATTCAACATTGGAGACCTTATCTGTTAGGGTGAAATTTCATTGTTTACACTGATCAGAAAAGCCTCAACGCCTGTTGGAGCAACAAATTACTACTATAGATCAAGAAAACTGGATAGCCAAGCTTATGGGTTATCAATTTTCAATACGCTATAAGCCTGGGCGAGATAATAACGTTGTCAATGCCCTATCACATATATCCGAAGGGGCAGAACTATGCACTATGGTTTCGTATCCACAATGGTTGGATGGTACGGAATTATCATAAGGAATCGAGTCTGACCCACAACTTAAAAGAATCATCGAGGCACTGTCTAAGATCCTCAAGCTCAAGGCGGGTTTTCTCTTGGATGACAAGTTGTATCACAAGGGGTCGACTAGTCATTCCGGAAAATTCCCTATGGATTCCAAAGCTACTAGTTGAATTTCATAATATCCCAAGTTGTGGTCATTCGGGGTTCTATAGAACCTATCTTCGTCTTGCATCCATATCTATTGGTTGGGAATGACAGAAGCAATAAAACATGATGTTCAGGCATGCAACTTCTATCAAAGGTACAAATCTTCTACTCTTGCTCCAGGGGGTCTCCTCCATCCTCTTCCTATTCCCTCATCAGTTTGGGAGGACATCTCCTCAACACTGATCTACCAAAGTCCAAGGGCTTCGAAGCAGTGATGGCTATGGTTGATCGGCTCTCAAAATAATGTCATTTTATTCCTTTAAAACGCCAATTCCCGGCTCGCACTTTAGCCAAAATCTTTCTTCATGAATTCAACAGATTGCATGGGATACCGAAATCCGTTTTTGAGCGACCGTGATCCATTATTTCTAAGCAAATTTTCCAAGAGATTTTCTATGCAAGGCCACATCCTTAAATTCAGCTTAGCATACCATCCTAAGACTGATGGACAGACGAAGGTGGTTAACGGGAGTTTGGAAACCTACCTGAGATGCTTCGCTGCAGACCAACACAAAATGTGGTCATTTTTTGGCTACCGTGGGTAGAATTTTGGCATAATACATCCTACCATATATCCACCAATACTACTTTTGAAGTCGTTTATGGCAGACCCCCTCCAACTGTGTTCCAGTTTGTTCCTCGGGAAGTGTATTATGAAGCTATCTTGCTCGATCTCCTGGATCGAGACGAAGCAATTAAACAACTTAAGAAACATCTGGTTTGCGCCCAAACACACATGAAAGCTACAGCTGACAAGCGTCGTTGGGATGTCGAGTTTATGGTTAAGGGATTGGGTGTTTCTCAAACTGCGTCCTCATCATCAACAATCTGTGGTACGTAGGATTATCAGAAATTATCTGCTTGATTTTATGGACCATTCCTTATTGTTGCTAGAGTTGGGGAAATCGCCTACAAACTCCACTTGCCCAAATTCGTTAAAATTCATCCCATTTTCCATGTATCACTCCTTCAAAAAGTTGTGGGAAACAATCCAGTTGAAGCTTCCCTACTGGCCTCGAGACAGCTTATGTAGTCTCTCCACTGCCTGAAAACTGTTTAGCTACTCGAGAAACTAACAGAAACGGGGCCCAAGTATCACAATGGTTGATCCAATGGCAGCAGGGAACTATTGAAGATGCTACTTGGGAGGATGCCTATTCCATTCAAAGTCAATTTCCAGAATTCAGGCTTGACAAGCCTGCACTTCATGAGGCCGATATTGATTGGGAAAGTGCTATGGATCACTTATTGGATTAACAACCAAATGGGCCTGAAGCTTGGAAAGTTTATTCTAGGAGTTTTAGAGGGGGACACATGTAGGGTGAATTGAGAGCAAGTTGTTAGGACTGAAAAGTGAGAAAGTGGAAAGACTAATATATTTCTCTTGTTGGGGAGCAAAAGGGGCAGGAGATAATTTTATGAATATTCGACTAACTCGACTGTTAGCTTGGGCAGATAAGTTCTCCATTTCTGGGTTCTTCATATGAGTATTTCCTTTTCTTAAGCATATGAATATTATCTTTTTATAAAATTTACTGTCGTTATCCTATCATGATCCTTCGTATGTTGTGCGAGTATGAAGAAGGCATAAAGTATTTGTCTGACATTTGATGTATCAAGTAAAATGTTTTGGACACCATACTACAAAAGTCATTTATTTGGTCATGTTTTGATGGGTTTATGCCCATAGGCCCTATTTTCCTACCAAATAATAAAAATGAAATGACTGGTTTGCCCTAATTAGAAAATAATTTGATGTTAATGCTCCTTAAGGGCAAATGTGTTAATAATTACCCGCTTTGACTGCAAAACTGACGATGGGTGGACAAAAGGCGATCAGAAAATGAGATATTTTAGTCAATGGTACAGGTTATGTCATGTTAGACTAAGTCAACTAGTCTAGTTTATATTATTAATATTGTCTAGGGTCCAAAGTGTAATTAGTTTTACCTATATAAGGTGTATCAGATTATTATTATTTTTCAATCAATACAAATCAATATCAAGTTTAATATGTCATACAGCCAATTTTCGAGTTAGACATATTGAGTGTGTTTGGTTTGGTTTTAAACATAAAAGAATACTAATGCTGAACTCGTAATATAGTCTGCATGAATGTAGTAATAGATTTGACCTTACAAGTCAAAATACAAGTACCAACTAACCTGTGATGGGCCTTGATGCTTATCAGGATGCCACTTTAGAGCAGAAAGGCGAAAACTGCAAAGAGAGAGATGAGTGAGTCATATGAAAGCTTGAACTTTTTAGCCATCATACTTGACTTCTCTGCCAAGAAGAAAACATATAAGTGGTAAAAATGAACAATTTTGTACTAATTGTTGTCATTTAGATGCAAAAGTAACCATCATATTTGGCGTATTTTAACTCAATGGTCCAATAATATACAAAAATAAGATTAAACATCAACTCACGCATTTTTTACTTCATCGATCTTTAATGGACCATTAGTCGGCAACCCAAGTGTAATTCTATCTGAAGATGAACCAATAGCATAGGATTTATCATCATCGGACTCGTCATCACTTGCCGTCCTCCATTTACTTCTGCTATTGGTACCATTTGAATCCTCTCTCCATTCGAATCCACTTGTTTGACTTTGTGAAAAAGACTCTTCCCACGACTTAAAAGACCAAGAATACCATCGATTTCCATATGTTGCCTGGAAATGCATCCCAGGATCATCGTCAAATTCTTCAAACAAATTTCCTTTTTTGGGCTTGCCTGTAAGTGTATAAACGAATATCATCAACACCTAATATGGTGAAATTAAAACTGAACCGTATACATGAATCAAAGCATTTCAAGAATCTTTTCACCATGGATATGTCGGCCAGGGCCCAAAAGAAATTATTTTCCCTCTGTTGCATGAACATTGCAACCATTCATCAGTTAAACGTCTAGAATACAAAAAGTAATGAGAAAATATGGGTTGTAAATGGAGTTATGGAGGTCTTTATCCTAAAAGAGTGTGGCGTCTGAATCTGGTAATCTACAACACAGTCATCCTAGAAGAGGGTAGAGCCTAAATTTTAATGCAAAACTTGCACTTTCTATCATCGGAAAGCCATTACTCAATCTAGATCTTACACCAATTGAAGAACTTCTGCATAAAAGCTCTTTAAGTAGGTATAAAAGCAAATCACGACAGAGAAACCTCACTAGCTCAGATGGTCAAGTAGCTTATGAAAATAACACGAGAACATAAACAAGATTCATGGACCTAGCGGTACCCAGTAACCCCACCTTCTTGAAGGTCAAGGGGTTCAAGTCTCACCAAAAGGTAAGAAGTGTATGTGTGACTTCAATTTGCCATATATAAATGTTATATACTTAGAAAACATAAACAAGAGACTTTTTTGCAATAAAGATAGTTGCTTTATGCTCAACTTCATTATCGACTTATCCAGTCCTCTAAACCTTCTATTACACATGTTCACTCGCAAACAGCGTCTTTTATGTTTTGATCCTGTGTATTCTCAAATTAGATGATTTTAAGATTTTTCACTTCCACAAGTATCATGTTATGCCAATACACAGTTAATAATTCCAGCAACTTCCGTTCAAAAAGTAGACGAAGAATTGTTGCCAGTAATGATTATTAACTCGTAACTCCAATGTTATTAAACAAAATTTGATGTTCACACAGGGGACTTCATAATGGTTTCTGTTGCCATGAATAATATGCATAAACATTAATTCAAGTAACTGCATGCTCGTGCCACCTCACTCTGAGCTCTAAATCACTATCTCTTCAACAACCCTGAAGCGCATTAACTCAAGCCCAGACAAATAATAAAAAATCATGATGGATATTCAAATGTGCATACATACAGGTGTGGCCTAATTGAGAATTAACAGTTTTGAATCTTATTGATCTAATCATCGACTTTCTGGACTATCGTACTTGGCTTTTTGTTGCAAAGAGATCTTTCTAGTGAAAATGAAAAAAAGAAAAGAAAAGGAAAAGAAAAGAAGGAATAAGAACACTACACATTGTACGAAAAAACAATTTTGGACAAGGTGCAAAGTATGATGGATGATTTTTGCTTTGCATCTCCACGAGTTTGTCCGATATCAGTAATTCTTGCAAACTATAGGCCTTCATTTCGCATTTTGACAAAAAGCATGGTTGGTCTGCAGCACCAAGTCAAGTCCAATGGTTTGAAAAGTCGATGACCCCTTATTGATTACATAAAGAATGTTGATTCGATCGGGAGCATACATATAGGTGTTTGGTTTTATTAGCATTTAGACGGAGAGCATAAACTTTGACTCTAATAAAAAAGTGGAGAAAAGGGGCACTGTTATAACGTAAATGAAGCTTACTTTTGTTTCTCTTTTGATGAGCTTTACCAGTATGGCGAGCTGAGGACTTAAACAGATCCCTTTTCTTTCTGTCACCTGTTCGATCAGTGGAGTCTCCATCCCATCTTTCCATTCCTTGCCTCTTCTTCAAGAATTCGCCCTAGTTTGAACATAAAAAGAAAATGTGAAATATCTAAATACTCCAATCAAACTTGGTGAGACAAGAAAAGAAATCACGAAAAACAGATGCTTTGATCATGAACAAAAATAATACACCATAACAGATCATATATGAGTGATGTAAATTAATAAATACATGCACTTACAACAACCTTCACAGAATTTTTGCCTTCTATAAGTTCAAGACCAACGATAAAAGGTTAAGAAGCTATCCATTTATGACATTACCTCCATTCTCCATTTTATGGGCCCATTCCACTTCTCCTTCCTAAGTGAATAGGACCCACAATGGCATTTTTATTTCTCCTTAAACCACATAAGACAAAATGTAAAAAGTAACCGACTTTTGAACCATTGGACTTGGAATTTCTTTGCATACAAGCCATCATTCTTGAAAAACACAAAGAAAAACTCCAAAGTTTGCAAGAACAAGAGATGTTGAACAGAAGTGCCAAATATGATGTTCATTTCTGCATTTTGCATTTACAAGATTGATCTAGAATCACTTATTCTTGGAAACTATAGTGATTCTTCTTTACATTTCCGAAAGACTGAAGGTTAGTTTGCGATGAAAAAACCAAGTATGCTGGTTTGAACCATCAATCACTCAAAATACAGATGTGAGATGTCCTGAATGAATTATACAACTTTAGGCATTCACAGGTGCACCATTAGGCTTCAGATGAAGTGTGGGCTGAGATTTCATTTGCTTCCACGCCATAACGGGCCAACTACAAGAAACCAATCAATCACTTTGTTGAACATGCAGACGGGCAAACATACACAAACACACCATCTGACATTTCTATTTTTGATTCTCATAAGCTGGAAGTATACAAGAATTAGACTACTAAGCCTTTCAAGCTTACATATCTAAAGTTTATCCATGCATCAACTGTTCCCTTAATCTAACTGAACTATACAACAAAGGCCTGCAATGAAATAAGTGAACTGAAGGAATACCTCAAGTGTAAATTTGGAGGAGCCACTTCTGAAGAAGAGATCGTTCAGAGCTTTCTTCGCATCTGCACGTTTTTGACGTGTTTTGTATTTGATATATGTCTGGATCATCAACAATGTCAGAGACAAAGAGATTAGTATTTGCATCATGTGTGTGATGTCTATGGAGTAGTGGAATATTCTAGGCATAAGTCTAGAATTAAGTAGGGGAGTCGGTATTTCCAATTTTAGTAAGTCCTATAAGAGCATCTCCACAGATTCTCCAAAATGGAGAATCAAATTCAAAATCTCCAAAAACAAAATTACATACAACTCCAACAGCCTCTTCATTTTGGAGATTGCAACATTAACTATATTATTAAAATATTCCATACATTTAATAGAATGTTATTTTTCTCTCCTAAACATTTAATTTCAATGTTTCTTATTGGTGGGTATATAATAAAATAAACTATGTTTTCTGTCCCTGTGGTTCGTTAAAAACTGTGACTTTCATCCCTGTGGTTTCGAAATTGTGGTTTCCGTCCCTATAGTTTGCAATTCACTGCTCTTTTTGCCAACTCCTACCTTTAAGTATGAGGGACCAAAATAGCAAAAAATTATAAACCACATGGATGAAAACAGTACTAAATTGTTAATCATAAAACGAAAATAACAATGAATTATATACCATAGGAATGGAAAACGTAATTTCATAAGTACATAAGACGAAAATAGTAATTTTCAACAAATCATATGGACGAAAAATGTAATTTACTCAAAAATGTATCTCTCTCATGGTAATCATTTTTGGGGAGTTCTCCAAATTTGAAGATAACATTCTCTCTCACCTACTTTCTCCATTTTGGAGAATCATGTTGGAGCAAAATATTTACCCAAAATCCTCAAAATCTCCACTCTCTATTTTAGAAAATATGTTGGAGATGCTCTAAATAGGCATCGAGGACTAGTGTCATGCTTATTTTCATTTTCAGACATTGAGAAGGTGAGTTGGCATCATCGAGAGCTCGCCTATCTCTCGAATATAGGCCTTGGGTTGATCATGATCCTAACTCCTCTTCTGAGGTACCAATCCAAACAACAAAAATGTGGATCTCGAACATTGTGTTTTGATAGGTGTTAATTTATTAACCCTATTACATCATTTTCTTATCATTTTCCCTTGTTTTATTTGCCCATTAGTGTCTTAATTGAGTCCTTTTATGTCATTTTTATGCTTATACATATATATTAGTAGTATGTCATAATCTAATGTTATTTTGCCATTTATGCAGATTTTTTAAGCTTTTTTGGCCAAGTCCTGTAGCAGTCCTACAGGAGCGTTTTGGTATTGCAGCAGTCCTGCAGTAGCAGGCAGCGGGCTGCACCTTTCTCTTGGGCCGAAACCCATGGGCTGCATTGATGGAGCTGTTGATTTCAAGTCTTGGGCTTTAGTTTAGCTTCCCTTATAAGCTTTCTTTTGTCTTATTAGCTATCTTCTTTTGTAAACCTCATACTCCTTATAAATAGGAGTTGTTCCTAAGCTAAAACAAACTTAACCTTTGGGTTTTAATATTTTCTCTCTAATATTTTGTCTAGCTTTCGGTCTCCTTTATTAAAAACAAGAACCAAATTTACTGAAGTAAAATTGCTACTTAATTTTCAAGTATTAATTCAAGCTCAAGTGTTCAAGTTTCATCTCTTTCTTTTCTTACTCTCAATTTTCAAAAGCTTTCTGATTTTCGTCACAAGTTGGAATTAATCGATTACTGTTGCATTACATCGGATTTCATCATTTAACTCACGATTTATTTCCTTTGATAAAAATCTGTTTTTCAATTGTTTGCAAGTAATTTCTCACTTTTAGTGACGAAACTTGTTTTGCAAGTTTCATGACTTAAAGTGCAAGTTTCCATAGCTTCCTGTTTACAAGTCTTTACTTTTACTTTATGTCTTCTCTTTTAGAGTAACTTTAATTTTCTGTATTTACTTTTCTGCAATTTACTTTTCTGTCATAGTTTTCCAATAATTTAATTTTCAGTATTTTAATTTATGCACTTTACTTTACTGCAATTTAATTTCAGTCAATTTACTTTTCTGGTACTTATACCATTATTACTTGTTAGAAGACCATAGTAGTTCAAAGTGTATACTTGCRCWGAGTTCTATTTTTGTGTTGAAATCTAAGGTTGCATAAACCGAACGAGCATGCTTATAAAACAAAAACTCACAAATCGCTTAAGATACTTGCACTGAGTTCTATTTTTGTGTTGAAATCCAGCCCATATGACTTCGCCTTCGACTAGCACCAAGTTCACTTTTCTTTGTACCAGCCACACCCTCGACTTCGACCAACACCAGCTTCACTCTTCTTTTCTACGAGCCACCACCTTAATGCTTTTGTGGTTGGATTTGTATCACTTGATATGTATTACGCATACAATAATACTAGGTTTTCTTATATATAAATATTCGTATTTTTATGAACCTAATTTTTTTACGTTTATACCATCACTTTCTCACCGTGATTTCAGATTACGATCCCGACCGTGATTTCCACAACCGCCCGCGTTAACTACTTAGCATACATGTCACCAAAGCCATGCAAGGCAACGAACACGCAATATGCCCGCAGCGCCCTGAGGCGTGCCTCATGGCACATGCCTTAGCTATTTTTAAAAATGTTTGTACCTTAAACGATGGTGAAAATACGGAAGCCTCCCACTATGGGTAGCCTTCAAAGTAATGGGAAAGAAAAGAGAGAAAGAGAAAGAGGAAAGATGGGAAGGGTCAAAATTAACATCCCCGAACAAATAAATGATGGGTAATGTTGAAAATAAATGACGTTTGAATATTAGAAAATACCTTAGATGGTTGAGGACCTTTGAAATCCTGCGTAGACAATCATTTGTTACAAAATAGGATTAGTACTACATAAACAACATAAGGAATAATATGTATACATCGATAAGTGGACTCCAGTATGTAGGTAAAGGTCAAGAAACGATAGGGCAGCCAAAACACATATTAAGTGAGTTTTGAAGGCTAAACTATTAGTCATTTATGTAATTGATGCAATGCATCAGCCCAAACTATTAGTCACTGATCAAATTCAATTAACCTATGAGTGCAAATGTTCAAGATGCATGTGTTGATGGGTAACAACAAGCTTAAATGGCAATTTTGAAATCTAAAAGAAGAAGGGGCAGGAAGATGTTAGTTATTTTCCATTTGGTCAACCACAATATCAGAACTACTAGGAAGAAGAAATAAATAGAATATGATGTCATTTGAGGATTTAACACTAACATGAATTTCAAATCATCATACCTAGGTCCCTCATCAACTTAAGAATACTTCAATACTTTCACCGCACACCGCTTAATCCGGAATAGTTTCAAATATGATGCTATGGCAAGTTAGGATAATAGAGTTCATAATCATGCCCCTGCTTAAAACCGACCATGCCAAAAGTAGAAGGTAGAATAAATAGAACAGGAAAAATAGTTCATAGCAATATGTGCTTGAATGGCCAAATGCTTCTTCATTCTTCCAATATAAGGTGCTAAATCTCACAAGCAAAAAGTTGATTTACCTTCAATCAAATTACTATCAAATATGGTGTTCCTTGTCCTTTTTAAGAAGTGGATCGTTCCAATATTATGTCGAGCCCTTTTGACAATGGGTTGCAATCTAGGGTATTTCTTCTACTTGTCAAATTATATCGTATTGAGAGGGATATGGTATCTCCCTCCACAATCAAAGAGACAGACAGTAAACTATATACATAAGAGCAAGAAAGTAGTTTGTAGCAATATGTTTCCGAATGGCCAAATTCTCTTCATTATTCTAATTACAGGTGCTAAATCTCGTAAGCAAAAAGCTAATCAACCTTCAATCAAATTATAATTTCTTAAAGAGTTCTTTGACCTTTATCAAGACGCGGCTCATTCAAATATTAGGCATATACCTATTTGAGGGTGAGTTGCACTCAAGTATTTCTTCTACTTGTCCTCGTACATTTGTCTACCATTTCAGTACAAAAAATAATATAGTATCTTTGAGAAGAGCCTTCTCCACATTGAGAAACATAATATCTCTTTGGTTTAGTTGCTTCCTTTGCATAAAGTCAATCTATCATTATCCATCAAGCTAAAACACAAACATAAAAGAACAGGTTATGAAACACACGTGCAAAAACAACTATACCATCATGTCCCCATATGATTTTTTCATTATGAGTGTGACTTGTAAGGTGCCTTGTAAGTGCTTGGTAGTTGGCAATTAATAACTTCTGAACATGATTGGTGGTTGATTTGGATGCTATTGGACTAGATCCAATGAAGAATTTGCAAATGGTATTGAAGTAGGTCTTGTAGACCTTGAGGTCTAGCGGGTTGGAATGATGCATCCCCTACAGATAATGATTATGAGATTATGGTTTGGTTTCTATTTAGGCTTAATGAGGATGTACAAAATCTAAGTGGAGTTTGTGATATCCTATCCCACATTAATTGCGAGTATGAATTGTGAAACTGTGAGAACCTTATAAGTCCTGATACTGGCTATTAATAGGTTCCCACTATGGTTTAGTTGATTAGGAGGTTATTATGCAAATATGTTGTTTTTCACTTCAGGAGTTACATACAAAATACCATGTAGTTTTAAATTCCAATGTCTCTTACTGTAATGATGAATAGTAAATTAGTAGATGCAAAGTCTCGTGTTTACTACGTCATCAAGACTAGCAAGGACCACTTGTTTCCAACTCTAAGGGGCCGTTTACCCAAAGCTTACCCGGTAAGCACTTACTGTTAGGAGTCAACACTCTAACTTACTTTATTGGGTAAGATTGCAGTCCATCAAATTGGTACCGTATCCAACAATTTACCTAATAAGCGCTTACCGGGTAAGAGTCGTCACCCTCACTTACCGGATAAGACACTCCATCCTTATCGTCACTCTTACCGAGTAAGATTCTCAACCCTTACCATGTTCATCGGGTAAGGTAAATGACCCGGTAAGCTCTTACCGGGTAAGCGTTTAGTAAACGGCCCCTAAGTTATCAGAAAAAGTATGGATTAATTTTTCAACCAAAATGCAATGAAAAATATGGTGTTCTGTCTCCTTTATTAAGGAGCTGATTGCTCAAAATATAAATCTCATACCTTTATGAGAGTGAATTGCACTTGGGGTTATTTCATCTCTTTGTTACTACCAAAAATAAGATCATAATATCTCCTCCTTCCCACGTTCAGAAAGATAACTATTACTCGGTTTACTTTTTCCCCTTCTGAAGTAATTATACTATCATTATTCAGTTAGCTAAAACACAAATATTAAATGGCAAGTCTTGAACACACATGAAAAAACAAGTATACCATTTCATCTAATTCCAGATATCTAATTCTATTCCTATAGGATATCATGGGTTGATGATTCATAGGTTCTTAAGTACTCCCTCCATCCCATGACTAAAGTCCAGATTTGACTGTCAAATTGGATGCATTCTATGAAAGTTATTAGCTCTGATGAATAAACAATAACTCCATTGAAACATAGCAGTCATTGCAATTAACATACTGGGAACTCAAATTGTCAAAAAAAAAAAAAAAAAAAAAAAAAAAACTCAACATATTCCTTCTATCCATAAAATTTTGCATCATTTGATGTAATGGCAAATTGTTGATGCTATAATGGATGGCAAAAAATAAAATTCTATAACGGATGACTACAAACACCTATTGCTTATTGAGTTTAGGGAAAATTTCCAAGCTACAATCACCTATTGATCACTAACATAATGGCAAATTATTGATGCTATAACGGATGCCTACAAGTTCAAGCATCAAACGGGCATTATAATTCAACAATGTCAGATGGGAACCCGAGTCTTTCAAATTTAACAAAAGGAAAGGGGGAAAAAGAGAAACTTAGGGAAAACTCACCGACGAATTGTTCCATTTGTTTTCCCATTTCTCGAAGAAAGTAGGAGTAGATCGAAAATAAGCCACAAAAGATGATGAAATTGAAGGATTTGTTGATTGAAAGAAGGAAATGTTGTAGAACAACACCCTACTGCGTCTGGGCACTAGAATTTGCATTCTATTTGAAGACTTTGGAGGAAATTTGTCGAAAACGATGACCTTCCGCAAACGAACGGCGACAATCCCTTCCCTCGTACGTTCCTTCCTTTCCCTGGCCGCATAAGGGAAGTAATGGGCCCGGTTGCCGGGAAATGGACCCTGAAATCTCTATTCGGTTTTCAGGATGATTTGGCTATTTGAAATAAGTTACGTTTTTTATAAAAAAAATTGTTTATCAATTTATTATAAGTTAGAATGGTTTAATTTTTTAAAAAATTTCTTATTATCGGTTTGACACTGGTATAAGTTGTTTATTCAAACACTCAAAAATATTTATAACCGGTGTCACACCGGAATAAGTCAATATGTTGTTTTTATAAACAATCTCATATAAGATAGCGTCTCGACGGTACGACAGGATTACATAAATTGTCCTTAAAAATTGTTGTAGTTATAAACAATGCAAACCAAGTAAAATATTCTAATACTTTAATCTATAAAGTTTTTATATAATTTTCATATATATAAATACATGTATATATAATAATAGCATATTTTAATAAAGAATTTGATATAATTGATGATAGTTTGTAAAAAGAACTTGATTTGTACAAAGAAAAAACCATGATTTTCTTCGGTTTGAAAGATCCTTATGAACTAACAGAGGCATGGAGAAGGTTGTTGTGGTGGAGATAGAGGCGTTGATGGCTGGTAGAGGACGCTAACTGTGGAGGATGTGAGTATGGTCACAGTGGTAGTGATGGTGGTGGAGGCTAGTAATGGTGGAGCAGATAGTTGTGGCTGATGTGTTGAAGGTAGAGGTGGTAGTGGTAGCCAGTGGTGGTGGTGGTGACCGATAAAACAAATATCATATTAGGATTATATTAGATGATATAGATTAGTAATTTTTTAGTATGTTTATCATCTTTGTCCCATCTTGTTCCACATATTTTGGTGGAATAAAAAAAAATTGTCCGACCTAGTCCTACATAATCCTTGTCCCTGTCTTCTGTTGTGTCAAACGTGAGACATTGAGTTTTTGTCTTGTCTCATATCGCACTAAAGTGGGACAATTAGTTATGATCATGTCCCGTCCTGTCCATGTACCAAATGCAACCGAGTGAATTACATTTTTGGTCTCTCGTCTATGGCTACTAAGGGTGTTAAAAAACCGTTGGACGGTTCAAACCGGTTGAACGAAGCCAAATCGGACCATTTTTTGTGGTTTGAGCGATCTAGCGACACGGTCCGATCTAAAAAATAATCAAACCGCTCGGTCTACTCTAGTCTGCGGTTTGAACGTTTTCTTGAGCGATCTAGACCGAACCGACCACCAAAAAAATAAACATATATTCATTTTCATGTTATTAGGGCTGTAAACGAACCGAACGAACACGAACGGAGGTTTGTTCATGTTCGTTCGTTTAACTTAAACCGAATAAACGAACGAACATGAATGGTAAACGAACGAAAATCTTTGTGTTCGTGTTCGTGTTCGTTCGTTTAGAAATAAGGTGTGTTCGTGTTCGTTTATGTTCGTTCGTTAACATGCTAAACGAACGAACATAAACGAACGGACTAAAYGAACATAAACGAACATAAACGAACGGGCTAAACGAACATAAAC